GTTCATTTCCAGTATAAAATTTCTAATGCTCATCGTTTGGAAATGCACAGTGAAATATGACGGTGTTTCGAATATTTCTGTAACTGCTATTTATCTATCTATATTATTTTTTCTGTAAACTGCTTTTTTTTATCTCTCTCTCCCTATACCTTTAATTGTCCAAGTCGTGTAAAAGCAAAATTGTCCATTTATTAGATTATGGTTTAAATCGCTGTATCTTTGGAATGATTAAAAGTATCTTACTGGAATTCTCCGAGTTTTTATAACACTAATGCCCTCTACTTTAAGCAATAAGTATGCATAATTACTCTGCAAGCTAAAGAGAAGAATCGTGATAAATTCAACCATAAACGAAAATGACATGTTCATCATGAATTAATCATAGCTAAGGATCAGTAGCTTATGAGGAATTGAGTGGAGTAATGGATAGCGGCTTGGATTGAGGAATCGCAGAGCCGAGTTCGAATTCCAGTCGAATCCATTACATTCACTTACGTGCTAATGTATGAATCCTCTTCCTCTCCCTCCAGCTATGGGTAAAATAGCAGGTTCCATAGCCTTGGATGGCAACTGGTCTAGGAGAAGGACAACTCTGAATTCAAAACCTGCGGAGGGTCGTTTGGGAACCTTGTGGCATTCGGTGCACCAGGTCTCTATATCCGTCCCTTCAAAAAGTGTGGATGGTCCTGCACGAGGCCTTCACCACTATAATCAAATCTCATGTACTGGTGTCGGGCTGTCGGTTTCCTGGAAACTGATCTGCTTGACCTCAACGGGAGTCGATTTATATATATATATATATATATATATATATATATATATATATATATATATATATATATATATATTATGTGTGTGTGTGTGTGTGTGTGTTCTTTTAGTACCATTTTTCAATTCATTCAAGATGATCTTCATCCGCTCAAACATTCTAATTTTCTGTACTTGAAGAACAAGGTCTCTCACAGTTTTCACGTACGATATCATGGACAGTCGTTTTTCACTGCTCTTTGCACTGAAACACCTCTCTCATGTACCAAATGTCGTATGGATTGTGTTGCATCTAATTGATCTCTTTAGCCCTAATTTGAAAGAATGACCCCTCTTATTGTTGTCACCTCCTGATCCAGTTTTCATTTTGTTGTGGTAAACCCTCTTACAGTATAATGAACTCTTCTTCCTCTCATAGATACTAACTGGGAGAGTCGGACGGGAGCGCAGAGTGTGAAGTGGAGTGGAGTAGTAGACGCTGTGATAATCTATTTATTACTAACACTATTGTTTTGTTTATATCTTCAATATACTTTTTTCAACCGACCTTCGTCTTCCGAATCTTTCTTTCTGGCTGCTAAACAGGCCACAACACATTTCTTCTGTTCCCTCTTTTTAAAACATATTTATGTTCTCTTGATGGTTCTTGAATAGATTCTGAAGATGAAAGCCAGAGTTTGAATGTTGCTGCCATTGCTGAAGGCGTGAATGATGTTTTCCTCTTACCATTGCTCATTTGGGAAGACATTGGGGCTGACACAAGACGATTTTACCCCGTTCTTTTTCTAGCTGAATAACTCATAGGGTTTTTAAGAGATTCTTAAGACAAGGTGGCTAAACATCTTATCTGAGTACTGAGAAAATAAAAAGTCAATTTGTTTAGTGTTTTCTTGTTTTTTTCTTTTAGATATTAAACATTTTATGGGATGAACACTTATAATGTCACACGATTCGGACAATTTTGCTGTTACGATTGGTATATGTTTATAAGCAGAGAAATATATAATAATCGTCATTCCAAATCTCAGAAACATCAAAAAACGAAAGAGAAAACAAATTTCTACATATTTCGATATTTTCTCGTAGAGTCATTTTGAAAGATGAGGAAACTGTCAATGAAGATGCGGCAAATGCTTTTTAACTTGATTGATGAACGGCTTGCGAATATTTTTTTTCTTTTCAAATATGAATGTATGTAAATAAACATTCTACGTCTATTTAATATATCTATCATCTTCTTCCAGTTGTGTATAATCTCTCTCAAACTTGGCTGTTTGATATGGAAAAAGCAAATATTCAAAATCAAGGCCGTATCCAAGCATTTAATTCCCGTGAGTCATCTTCGGAGGCGGGGGAGAAAAAGTGAAGGAAAGTAAAAAAAAAAAAAATTTTTTTAAGTAGCACTTTTATATATATATATATATATATATATATATATATATATATATATATATATATATATATATATATATATATAAGTATAGTTATAAATCAAAACGTAAGAGATCGTATGAGGAACATGTAACCGGAACGTGTGTCAATCACATATGTTCTATGATTTTACTTAACTTTTTTCACACATGAAAATTATTCATGGGTTTCTGATGGTTGTAACCGGATTTGGTTTCGTGTTGTTTTTCGGCATTTATAGCAGCCAAGTTTGCAGATGGTTATTTGCAATTTGAAAAATAAAACGATGGATAACTTCAATAGACATGGAATAGCTATTCTTTTCAATGTTGAAAACAATAATTGCTACCTATAGAGTTTGAATATCCTTTCTCCTAATTTTCAAAATCTGAAAACCTCCAAAATTCGAAGGTTTTTAGGTGCCACAAATTGAAAATTTCAGAAATGACTGGGAATTTACTAGGTGATGTGCAGATGTTGTAAGTCACCTCATTTTCTCTGGGAAGGTTTCCCAAGCCTATCTATGTAGCACACGATGTGACGAGATATTTGTTAGCGATCGTCATAACAACACCTTCCTTTGTGTATTACGTATCAGTTGTTTTTTTCTAAGTAAAGATCATTCTTGAAAATGTGAAAACTTCTTGCATTTATATATTTTATCTAAGTAGTGATCAATTTGTATAATATACGTACGGAAAGTGCAAAATTTTATTTTTACGTGAAATCTTAAGTTCACCACCTAAAAATCCGTGTGTGCACTTTCGGGCTGTGTCACATCTAAGGTACGCTGGGAAAAGAATTAGGCACCTCGACGTGGGGTAATGTTTAGCAAACTGGGTGCCCTATACTTTCGACCTTGTACCACATCTAAGCTACGCATAGAAATGATCATTTCACCCCGTGAAATAATTGGATTATAGGAACCTCACATAGGTATATAACAGACACACACACACACACACACACCCACACACACACACACACACACACACATATATATATATATATATATATATATATATATATATATATATATATATATAACGTTGGATTAATGTGAATATGTGACTCTATATATAAAAATTTCGTCTCAATATATATTATTTTTTTCATACATTTTTACACACATACACACACATATTATATATATATATATATATATATATATATACTACATAACACTAGCAACGTGTTATAGTATGTATATATATATATATATATATATATATATTTGTATCTGTGTGTGTGTGTGTGTGCGTATGTGTTATTGCATTAACATATTAATACGTACTTTTATGTAGATATAAAATGGACGAGATCATTAAAAAATGATCTTTCAACTGTTGACTAAACATAAAGACTGACAATAGCCAAAGAGCGTGAGCATAATTGCAAATCGATGAAATTTAAATGGACATCTATACTTTGGAAACTTAACTACTGATGTTTATGCTTACTTATTCAATATGTCCCGTCTTCATAGTTTATAAGTTACTCGACTAATAAACGACATCCCTTGTTCGATGACACTGTACAAAGAAAACTTCAACTGATTTCTTTCCATTTCTCCACTTCAAATTCATTCCATTTGAATATGTTGTCAGTATCACTTCAGACAATTCTTTATATGAACCATTACATGTAATTCTTCTAAACTCACTTTACAAATATTGAGAAAATAAAATGCCACGAATGCCCGAGATCATTGGTTTTGTTTACATATGTCCGTATTGGCGTATAATTTTCGGGTGATTATTTTGTTCTTTTGTGAGTGTATATAGGAAAAATGTTTCATGCATTTGGATGCTATATTTGCGGATATGGGTGTCAACCTGTGTTCGTGTGTGTGTGTTTGTGTGTATCTATATATCTAGCAAGGTCATCTCTCTGTTGAAATAACACAAATATGCCTGAACAGGCTTCTGCAGCAGGGATTTGATATCCGCTGGAGCAGATATGCATATTTGCATAGAAAGGGCAAGCTATTTTAGATAGATAGATAGACTGACTCATATGAACAGACCAAAGGAGAGAAAGTGAGATAAATATATAGTTAAAAAGAAAATTAAACAGATAGGTAGATAGATATGAACAAGTCGAGATAGATAGATAGATAGATAGATATAAAATGAGTGAGATTGATAGAAATAAAGAAACAAATTCAACAGATGATAGTGTGATAGTAACACTTTAAATATATGACTAAACAGACAAAAAAACATATAGACAAAATATGATAAGACCTTGTCGCCAATCCAATAGTGCATCTAGATTCATAAATTAAGTGTCTTTAGGTACTTGTATTTGTTGAGTATATATAGAAAGAACATGGATTTGTTGGGTTTTTTTTACGGTTTATCACATTTTGAGATATTATCTATAACTATAAATGATGTTTAGCTTCTAAGACATTTTTAAGTTAATGACGATATACTGACTAATTAGCCTTTATCTGGTGGTGGTAAAAGAGGCGGAAACGTATTTTCCCAAGGATATTTGTGCACAAGTGAATATAATGAATCCAATTGGAATTCTAACTCAGCTCTCTGATTTTCAATTCCGAGTCATTATCCATTACACCACCGTCACATCCAAATTTATAGCACATTGCTTAAATTAGCTCATCGTACGAGAATCAGTGTTTCAACGTGATTTGACCGTAATCCATATAGGCAGCTGGATGGATGAACGAACATTTACAAGCATTCTTGAAAACAAGGTAAATATCTGGCGACTTACACTGATTTGGGAAATATTTCATTTTTTTTATCTATTGGTTAACACCTTTGCCAATATAGAAGATTATACTTGACTGTTTC